ATATATATATATATATATATAATTATGATGAACATGCTACAGCCATGAACATTTGCAGCCCTGAGAAACAGAATCTTCATTTTCCATGTGTCTAAAGGACAAAGATATGGACAGCTCTAGATGGAACATTTCAAACTAATGTAAGTGAATGTTTTCAAATGCATTATGAATTAGTCCGAAATAAGAGATACGCAAAGGGCAGGAGATGAGATGTAAAACTTTTTGACTGTGAATGACAGTAATGCCAGTTCGGTGAAGTTTCATGGTGCAGATTTCGTGTGGGCCTGCCATTACGGTCACAATACCTCGCATTCTATGACTCAATCTTTACCGTTAAAAACGGCGTCCGTTTCTAGAAATCCATTAGCCCTATTTTTATTTTTTCCATCACTTTGGATTAGCTTCCCGAGAACATTCAACACGTAGTGTCATGGAGGGTCTGTAGGAATGCTGCCTCGGTCTCCAGAGATCTTCTCATTTTGGATCGACTGCATGAAGAATGTGTGGCTTTCAGCTAATTGAGAGTTGTTCCCCGGAGAGCTGTCAGTGGAGATTTCCCTCATTAGGAGGCAGCTTCAGTGGCAGGCAGCCTCCTCTCGAGTGGCCTCAAAAAACGGCAGGCTGTATTGCCCACTATCGATTTCAACCGGAGTTTGAAACGTCTGACTGACGCACAGATAAGGGGGACTAACACAGCTCAGTCCATCAGTCAACAAGCACTGCAGAGTGCACTATATAAGTCCGCCGAGTGCTGAAGCAGCCTGCTGAGTTTAAGAGAGACAGTGAAGTAAATAATAATGTTTGGGAAAAAGCATTTGATGGACGTGTGGATTGAATTGCAAGCTGGTCTAAATGGCTAAAGGGTTGTGTGTGTTCACTGAGTGGCTGCAGATGCCGTGAAGTTATAGCGAGGAGAAGTTCAGATTAACTTTCCATTGATCAGTGTCACTAACTTAATGTTCTTTTGCCCTACAGCTATTGAGATTGATTGGATGTCTTAAACAGTAAGCTACAAGATGCTGTGCTATAGTGTGAATACTGTCAAGCTGAAGGCTGTTGTTTACCATTTTAGTCATGACTGTATTTGCTTGTAGCCTTTTATTTACGTCAGTGCCAAGAATCATGATTTGCTGCTTGCTATTGCTAGTGAGAGCAGAAAGGACGATCTCATGCAAGAGATCGTTTGATTGGATAAGATGAGTCATCACTATTTCAGTCCTGTAAAGCTTATAGTATCATATTTGAAACATGATTTTCTAAAGCCTCTAAATGATCAGGATGATCAATTTTTTGCTGAAAAAACCTTTGTGCATAATGTACTACATGTCTTCCATCATCCGATGGGTACAGTAGATTATACTGTTTTAATAAGTAAAAGGCCTTGTAGTATCATTTTAAAAAATGTCTACTTGAATGTCTTAAATCTTTATTTTTTACAAAGTAAATGTGGAATACGTTTTGCATAGTTGGTATCATTTCAAGGTGAACATTTACTGGATTGAAACTTTCTGGATTTAAACAAACCATGTTTGATGCAGTCTACACTCTCACAAAACTAAAAAAAAAAAATGTACAACAGCTGTCACTGAAACTTTCCACACTGTAAAAAAAAAAAAAAAAAGGTTGCTGCCTTAAATTTTTCTTTTTTAATTTTTTTTTTCTTAAAAAAAAAAAAAAGTCATTTTAACTTAGAATACATTAAACTGATTTAAAATACATGAGTTGAAAATTGCTTAACTTATTTTGATGAGTTAAAGTAATGTAAAAAACATACTGTATGTTGTCGTCATTTATTGATAATACCATTTTTTGCAATTTTCTGAAATTTTCCAAAATGTTCCGGAATTTTCCCCAAAAAAAAAAAAAGAAAGTCCTGGAATGTTTCCAAAAATTAATCTCCAAATCTACACCTTTGCAACCAAGGCCTGTATGTACCTGTAAGGTATATGCACCCTTTAAGGGTAAATAAGAAACAAAGGTGTACCTTTCGAAAGAATACCGCCCCAGTAACAGTAACTTTTGTACCTTTTTTTTTCTGAGATTATATGTAAGAGTATTGATCATAAAAACTAAATTTTGAAGTAAAATAATCCTCTTAATTAAATCTGTTCATGATATACTGTAAAGCAATACTTGGATTAAACTGCTCAATGCCTTTATGACCTTTTTTGGAAGCTGTGGTTGCTTGGACTTTCAGTGGAGGGACAGAAACCTTTAGGTTTCATTATCTGTATCTGAATAATTTGTGTTTCAAAGTTGAATGAAAGTCTTATGGGTTTGGTACCACATGAGTTGAGTAAATGCTGACAGAATTTTCATTTTTGGGAGAAAAAAATCCCTTTAATGTGTGCCTTTAGCTCCATTGTACCCTTCCAAAGCTGCTTGAAGGCAAGCCTCTAAGGTCAGCAAAAAAAAAAAAAAAAGGCAATGGAATGTACATCAGGGAAGGAGGCCAGAGGTGTTCTTTTGAATGAATGTAAGTGGAGGAGGCTTCACTATGCTGAATAAACTGCTTTTGTTGGAAAACGGCTTATCATTTTTATGAATCAGCCGCCTGTTGGCTAATCATCAACAGTCTGCTTTTAAACATTCTTTTTGGAGTAATCTAGTTTTAGAGTTTACATGCTGTTTTTATAAGAGAAATCACTGACAATGTTAATTATCCGTAAATAACGATTGACTCTCACAAATTCAATGACTTGTGGCTGCCAATGAGGCTGTGATTGGCGACCAACACACACATGATCCAAGTTGACCGTTACGCTTTCTCCAGTGATAATAAGACTAATAATAATTATTAAAAAGTAATAATAAGACTATCTTTGACACTACCACGAGCTGCAAACAAAAAGTAGCTACCTAAACTGAAGCTATTAAAGCTATTTTCTCTCAAGCTACTTGCGTGAAAAAAAAACAAAAAAAAAACAATATGACAATAAAATAGCAACGTAGCACCAGCTCATTGTTTTGAAAGCAACTGAGCTACCATAACACTTCTGACAAAGAATGTAGTTATGTTAGTTCCTCTCACACGCTATATGGCACTTGTAGTGGAACATATGCTAATAGAGGTGCAATTGTGCTCTATTTGACACTGTCAGATTCACTCAGGATATTGTTTCTAGGAACTCATTTTGCATCACAGGCTGTTTAATTACTCTTTGTTCACAGCTCAATGTGATAGCCATACATGACCTCTTTATGACAGCAGTCTGAGAGAGATTTCTTCAGACCATGATGGCGGGTGTTTTCATTTTAAAGGCTGTCTGAAGCATCTTAAGTCTCTTTGCCAGTTTTGTTGTCGGGAATTTGTCTTTTTTCCCCTCTAATATGTCTTGTCAGAATGTCAGAGTAGCGGCGCAGGAACTAACATCTGAGATCCCAGGTGCCTCTAGCTTCCGCAGCAGACTCGTACCTATTACTTCCTCTTTTTCCTCGCACTTCTGAGAGCCGCACCACAGCAGGACCTCATTATGACAGCCAGAATGAGAGCGATGAAGAAAGCGAGTGCTGTCTACCTTACAAGAGCTTGTCCATCAAACTCTTCCTCAGAGGAGTGCTGTTTAACACAACGGTCAAGACGCTTGAGGCGTAAACTAGTCCGCCAACTTACCAGCAGCAGGAATCAAGCACAAGATGATGAAATCACTCAGGATGAAAACGCACTCATGCTGATGGGCAGCCAACTAATGCAGTTTTAAAGATCTTAAATTGTTTTTTTTTTACTCCATAATGTGTGTTTTTATCTTTTTCAGCTAACACCTGTCGGAACCACCATCTTCTCAGGTTTTTCAGGGAACAATGGGGCTGTTGACATTGATGATGGTCCTAACGGACAAATTGAATACACCGTTCAGTACAACCCTAAAGATCCGGTATGCGTTTTTCAATTTTCTTTTGTTTTCTTGTGTGTGTGTGTGTGTGTGTGAGAGAGAGATAGAGCGTTATGTAAAAAAAATATATAAATAAATACATATGTATATAAAATTTTTTAAAAAGACTACATGTAAAAGACTCCTGTTTTGATTAACTAACGTTTTCAAATATAATTTGAGTAATAACATGCGTATGTAACAATATGCATTGCTATAAAAAATACGATAATAAAAAAAATAATTAGTAGTAGCCTATAGTAATATTCTTAATATAAGTCATTCTTAATACAATTGTCGGTAACTTTATTTTTACAGTGTCATTTTTATACATGTACAGTATTTACAATGAAAATAACAGTAGATTATGCATAATTACAAGCAACTAAAACAATTACTCTGTACTTATTTGTGTAATTACAATGTAACAAAGCATATAAAGAAAAATAAAGTATTTTTCTAATTTATAACAATTGGTCAGATATATTTTATCATAAGGTTAATCACAGTTGTATTGCTTTATTTTATATTATTTATATTTTTTGTTATTTTACAGTTTTATTTTATTGACATCAGTAGTTTTATGTTTCTCTTCAGGTTTATGCATCTACAGTAGCAGCAGTCATTTTATAGGAACATACATACATATCACATATTCGTATAATTTTCTTTTTCTTTATACATTTTTAATATGGTCTTGGTCTGCAAAATGGAGTACAGAGAGTTTCCGACTGGTGCTTTTCAGTTGATTTACTTCACAAAACCTAAACCTTGGTGAATACATTGTTGTGCATCATTGATTATCGCCAAGCATCATATAGCACAGTTCAGCAACATGAAAATATTCTGACAAAACAGCAATAAATGCACCAAATAAAATATAGCAGAGAATATGCTTGTCGTGAAATGCAAATAAAATTACTTCAGCGAATCATTTAAATGAATATGGTGGTATTACGCATGCAAATTGGGGACATTTTCATACTGCTTCTTAATGAGCAGCATTATTACCATAAGTGGAGTGAGAGGAGCTAAACACGTCAAACCACATTTTTTTAAGTAACATTATAAAACAAATATGGATTTAACAAAAAAATTACCACACCGTACAAAATAATGAAAGTCGTACACCTAGGTTCACTTGGTCTGCTATATTCTGAATATAACTGAGTTTAAGTGAGTGATTCTTGGCCGGAATAACCTGTAATTTGTACAAGACTTTATGCTGGTGTTCAGTGGTCTGGCTATACAAGACTACTACTGTATGTTGACTTCTTAATTAAGGTTTTACACCATTTACACATCAAACACTTTTGATTTCAAAAGAGCAAGGAGCCTCCTGTCTCCATGTCCCTTTTAATTAAAGTCTTACATCTCCACCTGTATTGCTAAAAAGGGTGAGGTTTTGAAAGTCGAGCAGTTTTGTCCCATCAGCATTCTCTTCTTACTGAAGCAGATAGATGATGAATATCTCATGAGGCTGGGAGTGTGTGAGCCTTTGTGTGCATGTGTGTGTTTTAAGAGGGAAACCCTTTTGACCTACCCTTTTGTTCTCCACAGACCACAAACAGGACATTCGACATCCCTCTCACCCTGTCTGGATCAGTGGTTCTGAGAGAGAGGCTGAATTATGAAGAGATCACACGCTACCTGGTCATCATTCAGGCCAACGTAAGTCTGTGCGGGAGGAGGAGAAACAGTAGGAGAGATACAGTAGATAAAATAATGAAAGATTTACTCAACCACATGTCGTTCCAACCCTGTATGTCTTGTTCTTTCTTCTGTGTAACACAAACTGAGATGTTAGACAGAGTGTCCAAGCTTCTTTTGTCCATAAAACAAAAGTAAATGGTAATTTTCTCTGCCAAACTCAAAAAATGTTTCAAAAAAGAACTAAAAAAGTCGTTTATACAACTGAAAGGACTTCTTATGAAGTTGTATGAGAACTTTGTGTGAGGAACAGTCTGACATTGAAGCTTTTATTCACTGGAAATCTCCTCAATTCAGATCAATTGTGTTCAATTCAGAAACAATGCCTTTAAACACATCATGCCATGTGTTTGCCATTAATTGAGGCTAGATGTCATTGGTTGGACTTAAATTTCAGTAAGTTCCTCAGGTGAAGGCTTTATAAGACTTGGAATAAAGTGGAACTATTTTTATGATAATTGAAGTATAATTGATGTCTTAAGGTATGGCCACATTTACTGTTGTTGGCTAATTTTCATAGATGAAATCCAGTCATTTCAATAGGAATCCACACAACTGGGAATTTTGTTTGAGGGTGAAAGTTTTCCCCACACATATTTTGCAGAAGGTTCCAGTTGGTCACATGAATTCACCGCCTTGACCAAAAGAAAGCTGCTTGGTTTGAAAGGGACTTATTGTATGTGTGAGCTGTGATACATCTCTACACTTTTGACATTAGTTAATGGACCATATTTGCCTGCAAAAATCCGTCAATCTTTTGCTAATGTGACCACACCTTTCAGTATCTTGGATTTGATGTCGACATGAAATGCCTTTTGCAATCAACTTCACTCCAAGTAAAACAAAGATAATTAACCACAAAAAATTGAGGACTTGAAGTGAGGGGGGTTGGAAGAGTAAGTGAGATGCACAGTTTTCTCTTGGCTGTCAGTAAAATGTCTTATTTTGACTTTGACTGGAGAGTCTTTTTGGCTAGTGTGTAAGTTTGGAATCCTGTTGGATTCAAACTCCATCCCTAAGTCCAAAGTTTGTGTTTCTCTTCAGGACCGAGCTCCAAACCCAAAGGACCGGCTCACCGCCACCACCACGCTCACGGTGGATGTGTTGGACGGGGATGACCTGGGCCCAATGTTTCTGCCTTGCAGCCTGGTAGACAACACCCGTGACTGCAAACCTCTCACGTACCGCGCCAGCATCCTGGAGCTCACAGATCCGGTGAGCGGTTCCTTATCCTGTGCTTTTCCAGCTGTGTCTTACGTTGAGTAGTTACATTAAGTCTCCTCGTATATTGTAGCTCCAGCCCGAGAATTTAACTGCCACTGGAATGTAGTTTGACTGAAATGTATTTTGCATTTCTGGTCTTGAAGAACATCTCTATTACTTGACAGACCAAATGGCTTTGCATTGCACACGCTTCTAGCAATAGGGATTGTTTCATTTCTGATTCTACAGTGTTTTGATTATTTTAGTCTTTTCTATCACTTACTTAGTCTCATGAGAAATTTGACTCGTTTTAGTTCATTTTGAGTTGGACATGTTGGAAATAATGACTTGCGGTTCAATAAATATGTCAAGAACCTATTTGGTGAGGGAGTGACTCCTTAAACTGATTAAAACAGAATCATCAGTATGAGACTGATTCTTGATAGACATATTAAAAATGGCTCATTTGTTGCAGTTTAGTGGATAAACCAATAACTGCTCCACTGAGTGAGTCATTAAACTGACTCAAGCAGGTTTTTTGATGTAATTCGTTAAAAATGACTTGCTCATTTTGGTGAATTGGACAGTTTGGGTCTTGCTGTATGATTACTTGCCATTAAAATCCATATTTAAATGCCATTACAACCATTCTGGTTCCAGTAGTTTTAAAAAATGGACACAGTTCGGAATAAGAACCATTGTTTTGGCTCACAACCATACAAACAAGTTGCTGTTGCCATTACTTTTTAATTACCACCAAAAATGAGTTTTTGAAGTGAAACGTAATATAGATAAATGAGATGATTAAGGGATAATTTGTGAGTGAGAGTGAACGTGTATGCAACAAAATGCAAGTGTAAAGTGTAAATAATACAAAAGTCTTATTTTTGTGCTAAACTTTGTCTGGCTCAAGGGCAAAGTGGTGATGGGGTTTTTAGTAACTCAGTTCACGGGTCACCCCTATCTACGATTGCACCTGCAATAGTTGCAGCACCAGCGCAGAGCCTTGAGCACTAGGATATCGCCATCCGGCTTATGTGATAAATGCTTCTTTAAAAACATGAAATTATGGCCATAGGGCATACAACCTTAAATCAGCATTTCTATTAGCTTCAGATTTGGTTGATGTATTGAAAACTTGATTTATTTTCAGCCAACTCTCAACAAAGTGAAATTATGTTTTACTTAAATATTGCACATTGTTTTTTTGTTTTGTTTTTTTTGCGTGAAGCTGCATTCATAACCTATTTTACTCCAATAATGTGATGTGTTTACGAGTGAAACGGGTTAATCAATGAAGTGGGTAGGACAGAACTTAATTTTATTTATTGAGAGTTAAGGAAAAGTGAGAGTTACCAGAATAAAAGTGTAAGTTAAACAATCCTAAAACAATGTTTGTTAACATTAACCAATAGCCCAAAAGGACCTATTTGAACCTCCATTTTTGGTATTAATCTCAGACGTTACGTTTGTTTGGACATCTTGCTCATCTGGTCTGCTTCTGGAACCGCAACAGCTTTGGGCAGGATTGATGTCAGGAAATTTCCTCTGTTTGAGTCACTCTGTTGGCGGCATACTTCTTTATACTGAGTTATTGCCATGTTGCTTGACTCAGCTTTGAAGTTTTACATCACAGACAGGTGCTTTAATATTCTGCTGTACACTTTTCTGATACACTTTGGGATTCATTTGTTCCTCGATGATTTGTTGCAAGTAGAGCAAGAGCAAGTATTTCTTTCAGTTTATTTCTCTATTCACCTTTTTTTCCTATGATTCAGATGCCTATAGTTGCCAGTTTTACATTCATGTTGCTTTATGGTTTTATAAAATGGAAAGACATACACTCTTTTTGGACAACATTTTAACTGATAAAGCTACAATCACAATCAAGCCACAATGTTTCCCTTTCTTCTGTGCAAGGCAAATGGCATAGATCTTCTTAGTAAAGTGTAAATAATACAAAAGTCTTATTTTTGTGCTAAACTTTGTCTGGCTCAAGGGCAAAGTGGTGATGGGGTTTTTAGTAACTCAGTTCACGGGTCACCCCTATCTACGATTGCACCTGCAATATTTGCAGCACCAGCGCAGAGCCTTGAGCACTAGGATATCGCCACCCGGCTTATGTGATAAATGCTTCTTTAAAAACATGAAATTATGGCCATGGGGCATACAACCTCAACCATTTTTTAACAATAAAGAATAATTTGTGGAAGGTTCCATGGATGTTAAAAAGTTTCATGGTTCTTCATGAAACCATAGATGCCAATAAAGACCCTTATTTTAAGAGTGTATTTGTGTAGCAAACAACAACAACATTGAACTTGAACTAACATTTAAATGGCATTTTAAACAATTAAGTTGATATTGTTTTTATATCTTTTATATGGTTCTAGCTTTTATATGACTTTAAATGTGATCTAAAAGGTAGAAAAACAACATTATGAAGTCATCACGGCAACGCCAATTGGTTGTTCAAGAAATATAACTTTGCTGGGTTATAAGCCTTATGTAATATAAAGAAATGTGTTTTGCATGTGGTTAGTTGCATAAGACTTTGATTGGACTCATTAAAGAAGCTACATTAAAGAGATTCAGATTTATTTTTATTTTTTTTCTTTCAAAGATAAAAATCTAGCAAATCTCTTTATGGATAATAACTTTTTCCTTTGTTATAAAACCCAGTGTGTTTATACAGTCAAGCTGTCAGTCTGCAAAGTATGTTAATAGTGCTAAAAGCACGGAAAGCTAAAAGCATTACGAGGTAGATAATTCACAGGTAATTAGTTTAACACTTCAAACACGAGAGGTGATGGTGATTCATTGATTACATATTCCTAATTTAAATGTAAAACAGATTGCTTGTTAACAGCGTATTGAAGAAACCTTTTTTAAACAAGGAAAACAATTCTTAGCACTACTACTTCTCACTGCAGAAGCATTCAGTTTTATGACAATAACATGTGTTATTTCCTTATCGTTCACACTTTTTTCATTTGTTAATTAGGCTTAGAAAGTCCCAGAATCTAGAAAAAAAAGTTGCATAAAACATAACACTTTTGTATCACATTTTCTTTTCCCCAACCGTAGTAAAAGCAAGCTGAGAGCTTTTTGTTCATTGTGGTGGTGTTAGTACATTAGTGCTTTAGCTCTTTCAGCCCATTTGCCCTATCCATGCTTGTCTGACAGCCAGAGTGAGCAAAGAGGTGCTCTAAATCATGTTTACTTTAACATTTTGAGCCGTTTGACTTCGGGCCAGCAGATGCATCCAAGGACACATTTTAGAGGAGCTGTGTTGTGCGTGGCCAATGATTAGGTATTCTAAAGCTCAGCCGCCTTTATCAGCTGTCAGAGGAGCTGCACTCTGCTCTGTGTGCCATTACTTAGGTGGTCAGTTCACTCCACAGCTTGCCTCTTTTTCACTTCCACGTGTCCCCCTCTGTCTGTACCCTCTTCGTTTTAACACGTCTGCACTCCTCTGTGTTTCTCTCTCTTTTTCTTACTGCCTACCGCGTTATCTCATGATGTGCTTCCTGGAGTATATCGGCCCCTCTGCTACAGACCAATTGAAGTACTTCATGTACTTAATTATTTCGCCCGTGTTCTGGCTAGATTACATTTAGCCGAAAGAGGGAAATAAGAGAAATCTTTACGTACGACTGAGTGATATGACAAAAATCATATATCATGCTGTGAATAATTTGGCAAATATATAAGATAAATATTTGTATGTATATATATATATATATATATATATATATATATATGCATATTTTGCTGAATAAATATCTTATGCATATCACCTAGCACTAGCTAGCACTACTACACACAAACCAAAATATTGTGCATTATGAAGTCACACAGCTTGCCTGCAATATACATGCATGCAAACACACCTAACCTCAAATTTACAGCATCCTCTCAATCCTCTCTTTTTTTATTCTCTGAAAATGTTTTCTTTTCTTTTTCCTTTTAAGAGACAACATCTTTCTCAGCAAATCAGCAGAAGAGAGACACATCTGTTGCTCTCCTGCACAGCAGAATCACGTGTGGAAGGTGCTTTCACCTAGACAAACTGATCATGTCTGACAGGTGTTTTATTCGGTCTCTGAGAGCCTCTCCACTCCTAACACAACACGAAAGGTCAAGTAAAGCCAGCCTCAAGTGGCGACCGTCTCGCGTTTGCTGTCTTTCCCCGCGTAGGTCATCTGAAATGGATACTGCAGCTACCAAGTCAAATACCTTTGGGGAAACCAATGAGTGTAAATGCCACATATGGGGGGATCCAGGACTGAAGAAATTAATATCTTTTTTTCCGAGTCTACTGGCAATTTTGGCTGTGCTACGGCTGCTATTTGAAGTCCTCTCCCATTCCCACGTATGGATGATTATTGAGCATACACGCACAGGTTTGCTGTAATGGCTTTTCCCCATTTCACCACACAGCTGAAAGGATATGAGAAAGCAGCGCTCGTTGTAATCCAGGTGCTGTTTGATAAATCCTGTAATGGCGATGATTAGGTAATCTTCTGCTTTTGCCGTGTACGTTTCATGTGTCGAGGGCATCCATTACTCTATCACCATCACAGAGGGTTCTGCAGTTTTAAATGCTCAAATCTATCTATGTATATATGTACATAATATATGTATTATTGTACCGTATGTGTAATATATGTGTAATATTTATATATGTCTTTTTTGATAACACTTTAAAAGGTTCCTTGTTAAACGTTACATATACTTACTATTATAATAACAATAAATGATGCATAATTACATGCAAGTAACTCTAAACCAGACCCTAATGCTAACCCTAACCCTAACCATATAGTAATTGCATGTAGTTAATTAATATTACTCACTACTTAAATGTATAATTACACTGTAACAATGACACCTTAAAATAAAGTGTAACCTATTTTTTAATTATATATATTTATATATCGTAGAAATAAAATGATACAATTATTTATAAAACATAACAGATACGTAATATGTATTTTATATATTTAAAT